ACAGGGGAAGGCGCCCCACCTCCCCAATTGGCCCTGCTCTGAGCCAGACCAGGGGCTGCACCTAGGGATTGGGCCTGCCCTCTGCCATCCGGGAGCAGGCCTAAGCCAGCAGGTCGTTATCTCCCGAGGGGTCCCAGACTGCAAGAGGGCACAGGCTGGTCTGAGGGACCCCCCTTCCCCTGAGTGCACAAATTTTTGTGCACCGGGCCTCTAGTAAATAATAATACAAGAACAAACTTCCAAGTATTCACAACTGTAAGCCTACTTTTGCCCACCCTGGACAGGAGCGGCCATGTCCCACCACTAGCTCTGCGTGTCATTCCCTGATTACTACCGCTGTGACCGTGGGTGCATTCACTTCCCTTTGCATTAGGTTTTTTTAAATCTTTAAAATGGGGATAAATAGGCCTTCCACAGTGTTGTGAGGAGGAAATTAAAGTACATGAAACAAAGGCCATGAAACACAGTTAAATTAAGGTTTAGTGTATTTTATCCTTAAGGGTTATAAGCTCATGGATTAATGTTCTTTTTCTTTCTTAGTACTTGTTCACATAGTCAAAGCTCAGTAAGTCTTAACTATTAACATTTTAAAAACTGTTCCTCACGTGCGTTGTTAACGAGATTGGAGAGATGTGTCAAAGGTAGAACTTACAGGCTTAGTTCGTGTTCAGCTATAGAACAAAGATTACCTGAAGTTTCAAGGCAAGAGCCATCTATAGAGGTGACCTAACAGGCATGAAAGTAATTTAAGGGAGGCGGGGGTAGGAAGTACAGGATTAAGTTCTGATTTTGAGGAGGGGCACACAGGAGAGGACATGGTGCTAGTAAGTAGGAATGAAAAGAAGGAAGGAGCACCAGAGTGGTACAATAGCATGTGAACCAGTAGGATGGGTGGTGATGGTTAACATGGTAGGCTGCTGCAGGAAGCTGAAAAAGCAACTGTGTTGATATTAATGTTGATTCAACCAGCAGAAGTGAATGTGGCGCCTTCTATGGGCCAGGCACTGTAAATGCAGAAAAGAATTAGATATCTACTCTGCACTCCCAACAGCAGAAAATCTAAAGGCGGCAGAAGACATGGGAGTAATTTAATACATGCAGCAACTTAAAAAATGACCAGCATTAAGGTGGAATTTCTTAGATTTAATTGGTCCCTGCACTCTAAAAACTTAAGCTGATTTACAGTCATAAATGTGGGCAGCTTAATTGAGCTCCTTTTCTTTCTTTTCTAGACAATGGCCAAGAACAAATGTAAAGGGCAGAAGCCCAGGAATGTATTTCACATAGCCAGCCAGAAACACTTCACGGGGAAAAGTAAAGCAAAACCAGTTACCACGAATCTTAAGAAGGTGAGTATTAAGCACCCCAGCTTCCTGGTTTACAAACAAAGCATGAAGGTAAAGCTAGCGAGAAACCGGATGCTATTATTTAAAACAGGTTCTTAGCCTTCCTACAGGGGCAGACAGATTTTAAACATTTGTTTTAAAAAAATGGAGAATAACATCCCTTTCTTGAATCCAAATGTACAAAACGAACAAAATTAACTGCAAACCTTTGAAACTCCAAGTAACAGTTTGATAGCTTTATCGGATGTCAGAAATCCCCGTGTCAGAACCAGTCCTTCTCTGACCTCAGACATATTCAGGAACCTGTCAAGTGAAAATACAGTACTGTGTTTCTTAAAATGCAAAATTTGAAAAGGCGTTTATCTTTTTTGTTTTTACTTCAAAGTATTTGGGAAATAGGAAATTTATTCATCAAGATATATATAGCAGAGTCCTCAGAAAATGTTTTCAAGTTGAAGTAATATGTGGCATCAGCTCTCTGGGACTTAGTAAATATCATGATAGTGCACAGAAATGTAACTTTATTATTCAGTTTTCATGAGCTAGTTGAGGTCAGCTTTTTGATCAAGGGATTTTATGACTTTGGAAATGCTGTAAAGGAAATAAGCAGGTGATATGACAAGTTTGGAGCGATAATTTCACATGGAATCGTCTTCAGTTGACAAGGGCCAAACCTGAGTAAGCAGGAGCTAGTGATGCGCAGAGCGGGGACAGGCAGAGAGCCGCCGAGGCCCCGATGTGACTTCCTCAGGTGGAAGCGCTGGAGGGAGTGTCCGAGAGGGAGGTGTGTGGGTTGGCAGCCTGGTTGTGTAGGTTTCTCAGAAAATGGTCTGACTTACCAGAGGAGGCCGTGGGTGGCCAGGCACCCTGCAAATGGTCAGAAGTTTGTGGCCATGGATTTAAAATGAAGCCACTCACCTGGTTATGATTTTCTAGGGTTTTGGTTTTAGGCTCAGCAGTCTGATCAGTGAGTGTAACTGGCTTGCAGGCAAGTATGACATGGGAGAGACATGGAAAGTTCACTGGTTGAGGAGATAATGGTCTGGGTCTGTGCTGGCTGAGGGAGTGCAGGAACGTGAAATAATGGACGCGGAGGCTGCAGTGCGATGTATGAATCCTGACTAAACTGTACGTGGACAGGAGATGAGGACCTGGAGACAAGGCCACAGCATTAGATTGTTGTCGAAGCCACAGCAGTGACGCCAGGCCTGGAGCTTAGTGAGCTGAGGTTGGACATCTTTCATGAAGGAGCAAGTAGTCCTGGTGTTGGCAGGTGACAGTGGGGAGGATGGGGCCAGGGTGTCCCAGGGCATAAGGTTTACAGGAAGAATAGGACCTCCACCCCACTTTCAGATTCAAGATGGGGACTGCCAGGTGGCTGTCCTCAGACTGCCAGGGACCTCCATCAGGGCAAGAAGGTGAGGGAGGCTGAGGCTCTGTTAGCAGGACAGGAGCATGGGAGGCGGGTTCCGCCTCATCGGTAAGAGATAATAGCGGGCCGTCTGGTGCACACTCTGGCCTGCTTATCCAGGTGGAGTCAAGATAGGGGGTGTTCCACATACTTGTCCTTCTTAAGAAACAGCACCTTTTGTCCTTTGTCCAGTATTCCCCAATAAGACTGAGAGTTTTAGTGTGAAGCTTGCCCAGAAACTGGTACAATTGTCTTGTTAAGAATTTAGGTTTAACACAGTTAAATTAAGGTTGAGTGTATTTTATCCTTAAGGGTTATAAGCTCATGGATTAATGTTCTTTTTCTTTCTTAAAAAGATAATCATTAAGAATGCTGAAAAAATTAAAAGAATGAATGAAGCTTTTGTGAACATACAGAAGGAGCTTGCTCACTTCTCTCAAGGCCTTTCCCTTGAACCTCTGCAGAAACAGCCGGTGCGTAGAGCATTTCCTTTAATAAACTGGAGGCTAATACATTAACCCCCAAATTTCCACAGCCTGTAAGTTGAATGTGATCTTTAGTATTCGGCTCTCTAGTGTACGTGGCTGTGCTATATTTATAGCATATTCATAACATTATGAACATGAGAATTTATCATGTTTCCAAAGGTATGAGTAGAAATTAAATTGGGTAATAGAGGGCATATGTAATTTTTTGCACTACTGTTACCTAAATGTTTACACTCTAAATACTTTTCTCCCTCCAGGCTCTTCAGCCAAGTCAGGAAAACAGACCAGTGAATGTTGACGAAGCTACGAGATTAATGGCTCAGTTGTAATGCACCTGGTGATGCATCAGATTCCCCCAAAGACCAATAAATTAAATGCTTTATACAACTTTATTTTTAAAAATCTTGTTAATGTACAGGCATTGGCACATTTTAAAAACCACTACATAATCAACCCTCTCCTATAATCCAGGAAAGTGGAATGTCAGGAGTCAGCAAACGTGGTGAACTTAAAGTGCTAGAACAAAGGCACTTCACAAACTCTTCACGGGAAGTGACCGTAGCCTCTCGGGCACCTTCGCTTCATACGTGGCAGTGACTGTCAGGATCGGAGCGCAGAAATACAGTTTCGTGGCAGTAAAAGCGGAACACAAATAAGTGATGAGGCCATTTTGGTTTTTGATGACCTTAACCTTTTAACTTTCCTTTCACAATAGTAAAAACAGGAGTTAGAATTGGAAGGTAAGTTGAAGTTCCAGAATGCAGTCACTGTAGGGGCTTCGGAGCCCTTTGTTTTCACAGTTGACGTTTTGTGAAGTCAGAGAGCAAGTATTAGGGAAGAAGACATCAGAATCAGCGACCTAAACAGGTGTTACGTTCATTATAAATACTCAGGTTATTAGCAAGTCTACAAGGTTTCAGTTAGAGGTAGATACTGTCCCAGTTGTTCAAGGAGTCTAATAATTTAGTATCTGGACATCAAACAGGTCACACACTCCTTCACTGTCATCTAAGTTAAAGTTGTAGTCGTCCGCGGGGGTGGGGGAGAGCCGCAGGAGAGGAAACACTGCAAGCAAAGCACAGGCTCAAGGTTAGTGCGGCTCCACACACTCAACGGCCCATCCGTTAAACTACTGTTTCTATGTTCTACAAGAAAAAGTGGAAAAGCAGTGATTAAGTTAATGACTTGTGTTTACTGTGTATTTGAAAGATTCTCATTTAAAGATAATTTGTGCATTGACTATAGGTATAAGCTTGAGAAATAGGTTTAAGTAACTATTGGATGAACTTGTCATTAACACTAGAAAGACTGAAATTTAGTATATACCTATATTGCCCAAAAGCCGTCAAAATGACTGCATTGTGAAAGAATAACTAATGTGTAAAGAAATTTGTTTAAAATTAATTTTTAATATTTTTTATATTATTTACAGTTATATAACAAGTTATTTGACATTCATGAATTTAGGGCGCAAAAGAAATAAACAACTTATTAGAACAAGTATCACTGCATAAAGATTCGAATAACAAGTACTAGTTTACCTTATTGAGCAACTGCAACTTATCAAGTATCAACAGTTTATCATGTACTTGTATGTTATC